AAGCTATTCTTATGAGATTTCTCAAAACAAGTATTCTATACATGTATACAAAAGAGAAATTGTTATAAGAGTATAACGATGTCAAGCTATTTTCACGGATGTTTTCTATAGACCAGCAATTCTTAACCGTTGCGATAGCTAGTAACAAGCAGTTTTAAACAGATATCTCGAATCTAGCGGTTATCTAGTTAGCTTCCGATTGCAAGTCTTAAACCTAATCCAAAATATTCCATTTTAACTAGAAATATTTAGATTTAAAGCTTTATGCTAAAAAAGGATGGGTTTTCTAGTATGATTAGATATCTTATAAAATACGTTCTTTATTAAGGAATGGTAACGTGTATGGATGAATCGATAGGTTATATTGTGGATGCAATGAAAGAACGGGGACTGTGGGACAACACAATTACTCTATTCACCACAGGTTAAATAACTTATATTTATTTTTTAAAAGAGATAATCTCACAATAGCGAAGATATTTAGCACAACAGTTCTATGAACAGGGCTATGTATGACCTTTACATATACAAGTTCTCTTTTATTAGTTAAATGAAGCAATGCATTATTAATTTGAATATGTTAAATAGTTGCTTTGAATTTAGAAGACAATTATTAATATTAAAATTTTATTTGAAACTTTTGTCGCGGCCTGAAGAAAGAAAAAACATCCCAAAAAGCACCCAATACCATTTTTTGTCTTTCCTACATAGTCCTGTCGTTTTAAATTACTTTTGTTTATCTGAGCATTTTAAACTATGATGAAGGAATTATTAAGAGCAAATAACGTATGAATAAATCTTGGCAATCAACTGTATGCTTAGAATAAAGATTGATGCAAAAATAGGTACCATTTTTTAAAGACTGAAGTTTATCAGGTATTTGAATATTGTTTTAATTGTGAATCGTACAGTTTATCAGTATTTGAATAGGTTGTTTTAATTGACGAGTGTTACAGAATGGAACTTAATACACAAAAATAAAGCTCGTTGTCACAATTTAAATTTTGTTTGTATTATTTTTGTGTTCTTCATTAGATAATGGCGGCGACACAGATCTTGGCGCTAGTAACTGGCCATTGAGAGGCGGAAAGGGGTGTTTATACGAAGGAGGTGTACGTGCTGTTGGGTTTGTACACGGTGCCCCATTGGGCACACAACGTGTTGGCACTGTCTCTAATGAATTAATTCATGTGTCTGACTGGTTCCCAACATTTATAAATCTTGCCGGTGGAAATTTTAGTGGTACACAACCCTTAGACGGATTTGACCAATGGAAAACAATTAAGTAAGTACGATCTATTCATTTTAAAAAAAAATCAAACGGTCAAATGACGAAATCATTGTCTTGATCTATGTCGTTGACAATATTTCATTTGTAAAAAGAGCAGTATCTGAAGAACAACAAAAGAGTGATGAGGAGTCACACTTTATCCAGATTTCGATGCAACTAGTATGTTGAAAGTCGGTAGTTCTACTCAGGTAGGCAGTTATGCACGGGGGACAGGCGTGGTATTCTCCTTAAGTGAAACTAAAATTATTACAGCTGGTCTCAGAAAGACTTTTAACCTTAAGAAAAATTACCTTGTTCATATCCAGACCCTTTTTAAAAATCTGTCAATATCATAACGGTATTAACAGTACAATAGTTCTTATTTTTATCTTACGCTATCATTAGATTACTTTAAATTTGAGCTTCTTGTTTTAAGATAGTTAAGAAAACCGAGGGCAGTTATAACATCATTCATACTTTAAGGTTAACATTTTAATGTGTAGAGTTCGATAATTGTTATTTACAATTTTTGAACAACTTCTTGACAATATATAAAAAGAGTGTACAAAACTGGTCAGTTGGCATAGAATAGATGAAATGTTAATCTTTCTTCTTATTATTATGATTATATGAATTAATTATTCGGTAATGATCCTTCGTAGCACCGAAAGAGTTATTATATACATGTATTACAGATATGGTAGTAAAAGTCCAAGAAAAGAGATACTCCATGGTATTAATCCCAGGGTAATTGCCCCAGGGGAACCAATGTACAGAAACACGTTTAATACAACTATACACGCTTCACTTAGAATTGGTGACTGGAAGATTATAACTGGAAGCCCGGGTATTGTTTGTTTTATCTTTTTGTTTGCGTATTTGTTTGTTCGTTCTTCCGTCCATCAGACGAATTTATTTATTTCTTCATTTATTTTTGCTCATACAATGTGTTTATAATCTAAAGTTTCATATTAAGTAAGAAACATCTTCTTTGACACAAGCCTTTAAGTATCCGTTAACATCTGAATTATATAAGATATGTATTTTGTAAAGCCTCTTCAAGATGTCTTTATTTTGCATAATTTAAAAAGAAAATTGTTCACGAGTTTGAAATCGCATTACAATTTCTTTAAAATCGTTAGAGTATGCAAATGGCGTTTTCACAATTCATAAACGTTATAGACACTACATGTACAAGGATGCTGTTTGCAACAGTGCAGATTTTATTTTCATTGCATTGAAAATTTTAACATATATATTTAATCTCTGAGGATTTATGTTTTGACTCAGGTTATGTAACAACTAACAGATCCGAAGATTTAAAGAACCTGTTGCTATTTAATCTGAAGTTGGATCCGAGAGAAAATACAGATCAGTCGGAAAGATTCTCTGATGTGGCACTCCTTATGCTAAAAAGACTGGAATACTACCAGGCTGGCATGTCCGAAATCGATTATCCGGAAAATGATCCACTTTCAAATCCAGATTTACATAATGGTTTCTGGCAACCATGGAAGTGAGAACGATTAAAAAGAAGAAATAAAATGATATAACAAACATCTTTGTTATATGAGATAATGTCAATTCTTCTCTTGAAAGGAGTGTTATTATTTCTCGTGTGAGAACTTGTATTTAGGAAAAAATCAGGCATTCATATTTAAAGTGTATTTAAGTTTCGATTTATTAAAGACACAATATGCCTCAGAGAAGGCAAACAATAGTTTTATAATTTGTGAATAATGTTGATATGTATGTAAGATGCTAATGGGCTGAAAAATGTAGCGGTGACTGTGAAATCATTTGATACAAAAGTAACAGAATGTAAACAAGGTATTATTTTGACTTACTTACAAATTACTAAATAACTCTATCTGTAATTATTGCTAAAAAGCAACAGAAAATAAAGATGGTTCAGGTAATTGGCCAGTTAATATCTTTTTGGAAACTACTAGTATTACAGGACACCAAATATAAAAAGATTAAGGATAACGAAAATTAATGCATTTCAGGACAACATGGACCTTTCATAAAGTTTCAACCAAATACTTATATTTTTGTAAACAAACTAAAGTGTATATGAATTTTTACTTATATTTAGTCTCTTTCTATTACTTGTAAAACATTAGAGTAAATATCAACATGGCAGAGACACGCATTCGGAACATCTCGCCGACTGCTCATAATCAAGCCATTTACAAAAAGAACAATTGTGCACGATATAATTCAATAAATTATTTTAAAAAATCCAGGCATTTATTAACTTTTTGTTACTAGGATTATTGTCTAAAATTTGTGGCGCATTAGTGAGACCGAAATAACGTATCCGTTCTGTGTATTCATACTATTTGCTTCGTGGTCCTTGTCCGAAGATTGACGGAAAGGGCCGAAATGTTGCAATTGTAGAGACACGTTCAAGTCAACATTCTTTAAATAAATCAAACCTGACATATGAACTAGAATATTCAAGATAACTTCATTTCAATATAACGTTATCATGATAAGTCTTTAGATTACTTTTCAGTTGTAGATACGTTCTCCTTGTAAATATGTTAGACGATCAAATGTAGAATCTAAATACGTCCTTTCTTATTCATAAAGACGGAAATGTTCCATAGAAACGCTTTTGCATTGATGAATTGTGACGTCCCTAGAATTTATTGGTATCTGCATAAATTGAACTGTATGGAGGTGGTTTTGAGGAATCTCCCTGTATTGAACTGTATGGTGGTGGTTGAGCTGTATGAAAAGATGCCGCGGAAGGTTGTTCGTAAACATTGTGATTGCTCATAGCTCGATCATCATAGGCTATGTATGATACTGAAAAAATAAAGGTGGATAAAATAGCACATATCTGTGGATATATAAAAATATATTTCTTTTAAAATGACATAATAAAAAAAGAAAATAATTATGTAAAATATTTAATGCACCATTAAGGGCAATAAATTTCATTCTTAAACGTGCACATGATGCTTAGACACATAAGCTTTCATTTAAAAAGTTAGAAATTAAGTTGTGTAAAATATCTAATTAATGAGAGACACAAAAATATTTTATGGTGCATTTAAAATATTTGGGAGTGGGTAACATACCTTGAAGGCGTTGATTTGGTTGTAAAATCACAGCAGGTTGGCGACTGTTTCTTCTCCGACATGCTCCACATATACAAAATGCAAGAATCCCTAGTCCAAGACAGATAGCTGCAACGGTCCCCAGTATTGGACCTGTCCCTAAACGTTGACTTTATACATAAAAAATACAAATATACTGAGCTGTTATATGTTGCAAATTTTTTTCTGCTGTTTAAAAAACGTCGCAGTGAAAACTTCAAATGTTGCATGATTTAAATTCAATAAACCTAGGCTTCTTTCTCCTAATAATGTGTAAAAATCCTAATTAGTTGTAAGCTGGAGTAATAATGTTGGAATAAAGTTTTTTATCTTTCCTATATTAATGTATCGATGTCCTTATTATACGGAAGCAGGGTGCCAATTTAACATGCTCTATAAAAAAAGATAACATTTACGTAGGACTTTGTAACTCCTAGGTAGGAGATAAAAACAGCCTAATAAGTAGTTAAGAACTCCTACGTAGGAGATTTTGAAACCTAATTAGGAGTTTCGAAGTCCTACGTAGGACTTACAAACTCCTACGTAGGAGTTAAAAAGGCCTATTTAGAAGTTCATAACTACTGCGTAGGATTTTATAACTTCTACGTAGGGGATAAAAAAACCTAATTAGGACTTTATATGTGTTCCTCTACGTAGGAGTTATAGAGTCCTACGTTTGATTTATAAAGTCCTAATTAGGCTTTTTTAATTCCTACGTAAGAGATATAAAGTTCTACGTAGGACTTCAAAACTCCTTATCAGGTTTTTATATTTATAACGTAGGAGTTACAAAGTCCTACGTAGGATTTACAAAATCCTACGTAGGAGTTATAAACTCCTAATTAGGCTATTTTATCTTCTACGTTGAAGGTACAAAGTCTTTATCAGAGTTATCTTTTTTTATAGAACATGTTAAATTGGCACCATGACGCTTCCGTATTATTGGGATATTATAAATCCTTTACAAAAATAAAAAGGTCTTTTTCGGGCTTTTAAAGCGCCGAAATAGTAAAAACAAGTACGTTATTAGGCTTAAAAACTTTTTTTTCAGAAAAACATTGAGATTTTATACCAGGCAGTTCTGTTGCGAAATATTTTGAATTAAGAGAGTTTCGACCATGCGACCACATACATGCATCGAGGACATATTGGAAGGAAAAAGTGACCGTGCGACCACATACACGTATCACAGGATTCCCCTTCTCATACGAGAAAGGGACAAAGAGTTGTCCGCCCTGTTGCTACAGGGTAGACTTTAAAATATGCCATTTCCTTATTTAACTGGAGGCTAATTTTCACAGATATGTATTGAATTGGTGTATATACTACAAGAGTTATGCAAACCAAACGGGTATCAGTTTTCGTCCTTTTTAAGTTCGCTTTGAAATTTTAAAAAGATTATATTTAATTTCTTGGAAAATTTTGAGTTTACAGTTAATCATTTCCATTTTTCATTTTAATGTATATGATAGAATATTTGTATTTTTGAAGAACATAAATGTTTCAAACGTTTTATATGCATTAAATATGGGAAATAATTTCACACATTGTTCGCTTATATTTTCCTAGGGGCATGTTTGCCACAAAGTATGTATCTAATTTCTATATTCGATTTCTACGTGTAATAGAAAAGGTTATGTGATATGGTGCAAGGAAAAAATATATTAAACTTGAGCAGCCGACAATTCTGACACTGGTAAGACTTAACCTGTTGAATATGTAAAATGCACTTTTCAAACTGCCATTGATTTAGAATTGTCGATCAATCTGGGTATATCAAGATAGAAATTTCTAAAGCTAGTCAACCACAAGTTCAGAGACGGATTTGCAGCTTGTCTTACATTTATCTTTATACTTGAAAATTCATTTTGGTTCCAGCAGTGTAAATGAGCAGTGTTGTTAATAGTTGTCATATTAACACAATTGCTCTTGAACTAAGCTCAAAGTTTAAACAAATTATATCAAACGGTTTCCTATCTGCTTTATTGTCTTTTTAACTGGTCCATATACCTTTAAATTTTCATTTGTTAGTTTATCTGTTTATCTTTATATTATTTCCACATCTTAAAGATACCAGAACTTGTAAGATAGTTAATGAAAGAAGGTGACCGAATTGTTTTATTTAAAATCACTTGATCACTATCTGTCATGATAAGTCTTTACCTTTCAAAATTCTATATATTGTAAGTTGAATGTGCATTTTCATGGACTGTTTCGATGTCTGTGAAATATATTTGTATAAAACAACAACTAGGGAGTCAGACATTGATAAAGACAAATTAAAGTCATCAAATGTGTACATTGTATAAACAGTATAATTGATAAATGGCTGATTGTAAATTAAAATAAAGTTGATAACTTGAAATAGAACCTACCAGCAATCAAAGTCGGTATTACAGCAGTACTCTTCTTCACCATAGCAATGGAAGCTTAAACTTAAATCGTTACCAGGGTGGCACGTGTCATATGCATCTGTGACTAAAAATAGATGTTAAATCAAAGCGCTGAGAGTACCGGACACCTGCATGCTGAACATGCGTAACATTGACAAGAGTGGACAAAAGTCAAGTCTGATCAACAAAACACTCAGAATTATACCAAATGCAAGTAATCCTGAGTATGCAGTAATATTCAGTTCAAGTATCAATGCATTGAAAAGAAAACACATACTTTAATTATATTCAGAAAAAAACTAGACTGAATATGTTCTGTTTATTTTGAATTTGGGTTCGGCGGTGAAATAATTGATTTAATTTCTAAGCAGTTTGGAAGAAATGTACGAAAGACCGATGGGGACATTTCAACTTCATGAATTCCTGATTTCAGCTTCATGAATTCTCGATTTCAACTTCAAGAATTCTCGATTTCAACTTCATGACTTCATGATTTCAACTTCACGAATTCACGATTTCAACTTCACGAATTCACGATCATTTCAATTTCGTGAATTCATGAAGTTGAAATCGTGAATTTGTAAAGTTGAAATCGTGAATTCATGAAGTTAAAATCATGAATTCACGACGTTGAATTCGTGAAGTTGAAATCGTGAATTCATGAAGTTGAAATCGTGAATTCGTGAAGTTGAAATCGTGAATTTATGAAGTTGAAATTGTGAATTCACGAAGTTGAATTCGTGAAATTGAAATCGTGAGTTCATGAAGTTGAAACCGTGAATTCGTGAAGTTGAAATAGTGAATTCTTGAAGTTGAAATTGTGAATTCGTGAAGTTGAAGTCTTGAATTCATGAAGCTGAATCGTGAATTCTTGACATCCGTATTTTGAAAACGGGAATGCACGAAATTTAAATTGTGAATTCATGAAAATGATATTGGGAATTCATGAAGTTGAAATGGCCCTACCGGTCTTTCGTAGAAATGCCATGTTGTTATATGTTCACTAGTATTTTGATTGTAAAATGCGTCCAAAACAACCAGATACCGCTAAGTTGACACTATATTCCCAGTGGTCACCGCAGAATCATTTGTCCTAAATGCATTGTGCCGAATGAACGTAATAATTTTGGTCTTCATATCCATGTTTTGTTAGGTTATTATTTGTTTTCTTCCAGTTTGGCATGGTATCCGTGACCAGTCGCAACTTTCGGCCCTTTCCGTCCGTCGGAAATTTGTCAAGGGCTATTATTGATTATAGCCGGGATGTTCCGATTGATACGTGATTAACCATTTTTCTCATGAAACGTTATTTGTTGATCCCGCCGGAAACATAGTGTAAACATAGCATTGCTGATTGAAAAGTACGGGATAATTAATACATATGTCGAATACCAGATGTTATTCAGATGTTGAGAATTACATGGCATTTTCAAGTTTTGTTTCAATTAATTTTAAAATATAAATATAAACGGTTCAAATGTATTTAAACATCTCATGGAAGTTGAAAAACTACTGATACAAACTCTATACCTTGTTTATACGATTAAACTGGCGAAAAATCTTACTAATTAATAAATAAAACTAGCAATTGTCCGTTATGGTAATGAAAGGAAAACAAAATAAAATGCATTACCTGCAAAATTTAATATGAAGACGAATATCGCTATGATAAAAGTAACAAAGTACATGTCTTTCATATAGAAATATAAATCTCTAATCGTCAGTATATTTGAGTATTCTGAAACTTATGCGAGTATCCTCATCATGTTTATTTTAATATATGTTATCAAGATACGATCGTGAATTGAAGCGACAGTGCTATTCGGCTTGTTTACTTGGAGTTATGGGTATTCGTTTGATAACAAGCGTTATTTAGCGCGTGACTGGGGTAATTCTAAATTTAGAAACATTTGGATTGTTCTGACGTTTTCCTGATGACTGTATCGACGCCTTGTGGTCTTGGAGTAAGATGTTTTTGTAAGATGTAAACATTTCAAAAGTGATAAGCCAAAATAGGCTAAGAAACGATATTGTGGTTTAGAAAATAGGGGATAAGTTTAAAACCCTGACAGAGCAAAATTCCACATATGTATCAAATTCACACTGTTATATAAAGCAAAATCTATAGACATTACATTTTTGTTGACGCATGCGCTAATATAATTAAAAGATGAGAATAATTGTTTGTAGCAATCGTGGGTTGTTTTAAGTCAATTTTTACTTAGTTCATATACAAAAAACTCCTCAAATTATGCTATTGGGCAATTATGAGTGGAGTTGACACTTGGACCTTGACATTTGATAATATTTTAAAAATAACATTCATTTAATTATTCGTATTTTCAAGAAAGGAATTGAAAGCGGATTCTGATTGGTGCACATTTAGTAGAGTCTAACATAATTATTTTACTTACAAACTTATGTAAGTTTAAGGCTGATGATCAAAGGGAGAGAACTGTGTAAATTATCTAGGCCAACTAGCTTATCTTATGTTTACATAGCAACCTATGTTGCTTCTTCTTCATCATCATAATCATCATCATTATGATCATCATCATTATGATCAAAAAATAACAATCAACATGTATTATCGTCATTATATTTATCAAAATAATACATTATGAATTTACTTTACTTTTAAAATTGATTTTATGAATTTTTTGATGAATTGTCCAATTCATTATGTTATCTTTTGTTTTTGTTGTATATGCGTTAACAATTGAAGAGGCTACCTTAAAACTACTAACTTATCCAACTTATGTATAATATGTTTGATTTTCTTGAACATCTACAGAGGCATGCTTCTTTTATGGGATTCTATAAGAAAACATTGTACAAAAAAATAATTTCATCATGTATTAAGTCAGATAAGCAAGTACAATTTATTATAAGTATTTTCAATGTTTCGTTTAAATATACAAATGCTTTACAACAAAGATTTCCATTCGAACTGGCCGTTACATGTAACAAAAATATGCTTAACAAGTATAGCAATGAATATGAATGACACACTGCAGAATATAAATCAGGAAGAATAAAATACACATTCAAATATTCATTCTTTTAAAATGTTTAAAAATAATTTAGAAATTAATATTTATTTCACTTTATCTGAACTATTTTTGCATTTTACACCATTCATCACTATTCACAGAACAATTCTTTGCAGCTCAAGTTTCTTTTCTGAAAATGACACTTGTCCGTAGTCCGTATAATTTCGGATAAACCCGCCCCTTTCCGTTATTCAAGAACATGTAGACGCTTCCTTGATATTATAAAAAGAAGACACGGAAACTGACGACAGGTGCCGACAATTTACGAGACATAGTTCGTGTATTTACCGAAGCTCATGTTGTAACTATAAATAAACGTAAAGCATACAAATTTACAAAATGGAGTACTCATGAAGATAAAATGTCCCCTTCCGACTTTCACCAGCTACTGCGCAGCTGTCAGAAAATTAACAACCTATTCACAGTGCCACTTTATGAGGTAGGTGTCCGACTGATGGCTGGTCTGGGATTGAACTTGAAGCTGACGGCGGGACATCGTCATACGCCGGTGGCGGGGCTGGTGGAGGATGGTGGCCCATGATACCAGGTGTGTAGACTGGGGGTGGTTCGCTGTAGTCTGGAAAAAAATATTTATACAAACATCAGATTTATAATGGAATAGAATAAAAGGCATGTTTTTGAAAGGAAAGCTTTAAAACCTTGTACATGTATGTTATTTTAGAATAAAATTGTTTGGAATTCAAAACAAAGTTCTGTATCTTCTGAACATTTAAAGAGCTTATGTGAGCAGTGACAAAGTGGTTAAGGGTGACTGTCACTCAACTAAAGAAACTCACAGCAACACTATAAAGGTATTATGGCGACTTTCTAGTTTTAATGCATGAGTGGGGATCTGAGTAGAACCACCGACATTCCGTAAGCTAGGCTTGATAGCTTCCTCTCATGAAAGAATCCAAAGTCCCTGAGAGGATTCGAACTCACAGTGGTGGATGACAAGTTGTTTGAAGTCAACAATCTTTACTACTCGGCCACGGCCTACTAATACTATTTATAACTTACGTGCATTGCTTTCAGGTTGGACTTGTGGCGAATTTGCCTTCTTTTTATGTCTAATAATTGCGTATATAACGATGATGATAATGATGGTAAGAACAACTGCTCCACCCACAGAAAATGCTATGATCACGGTAGTTGACAGCCCTGTAGAACTGAAAGTATATTACAAAGTTCAGATTTAGGGTTGATTGATTAACAATATTGAAAAATCAAAGGGCTGCAGCTCTATGGTATTTTCTGATTTTTGCAATCTAAATCATACTGACTATCTGTATGTACTTTCCTGTATAAGTTTATTTTTATATACTATAATTCATCTTACGCAGCGACAGCGTTTTGATTTTCTTCTATAACAGTTTGAGATTGATACATATGGAATTTTGCATGAAAAAAAAAATAGAATTGCCTCGACTAGGATTTGAACCATAGGCCTCTCACACCCTCAACGAGACCGCTTACCTCTGCACCACGGCGAAGTTATACATATGTACCTTGAATAAAAACGAATACATTATGTAATTCTAAATTGAGAATTTCCATTTCGTGTTTGTAATCCTTATTAATTTCGAGGTATTTTGTTCACGATAAACCTGTTGTTTAAAACACTGATGAAAATAATTTAGCGAAAATCTTCTCGCCAAAACAGTCCGACATGTATATATTCCACTACTCGACAGTCAGATTTATTTGTGTACTACGCTCTGGAGAATTCGGTAATCGACATAGCTAAAAATAGCATTTTCATTGATTAAAATGATATTCATGATAATCCGAAGCTTTACGGAAATAGCCGAACATTTTTCATTGGGTAAAAAAGATATTCATCCGCGAAAGTCTTGATTGTAACCTTATATTTCTGTTGACTAATCTAAACTTTTAATGCACTGTAATTCGTTAAATGCCTACATTAAAAATTATTCTTTCTTTTAAATTGCTGGTTTTTAAGCAGTTTTGAGTGAGAACTACTTTGCGTTGTTAGGACTGTGAGGAAATTTTGTGTTAGACCGTGGATGTTAGCTATGTATTTACTGATCTTACGATCAGAAAATACAAAAAATCATTATTATTGATATGTATTAATTCGCAGTTGGACAACCCCTACTAATATGGGTAATAGATCCCAATGACGCCATATATAAGCACATTTAAATTCTACATTGTAGCCGAACCCCCACGGTTTTTATCATACACCGCTGTTTGAACGCCATTATTCAAACAGCCGCATACTGACCGAACGGGCGGAAGGAATAAACTCGGCTTATTTAATTTCCCTCCTCTTTTTTTCAAATGCTGTATCGATATCCTTTGTTTTCTAATGTATTTCAGTCTGAAGTCTTTCAACAACCCCCATGCCCCCGACCGATCGCATTTCATATTAAGTCACTTACTTAAAGGGACTCCACAGAGGTTTTTTGACATGATGGGACTGAAAATATTTTCCAGATAATTCTACAATTTGATTTAATTTAGACAACTAGTCTTTGTGCAAAATAACAGATCATTCGCGCACTTCGTGTTTCCAGAATAATTATTCAAATTGTAAAAAATGACCCAAAATGAAAAGCGTTTAAATAATTTCCTCTCAAATCAGGCTAAGAAAAGAATAAAAATACGAGTTTCAATTGATTTCAAAGTATATTTCTCAACTATATTTGCATAGATTCCTGTTTAAAGTGCCCCAGCTCATAAATTAAAATGTTATGTTTTTATGCTTTTTAACCTCAGTGGAGTCCATTTAATTGGCAAGTCTCTTAAATATTTGATATGGTTTTTTATACCATAATTAAATATTATATATATAGAACGAAAAACAGTCATTTAAACGTATCATTTACTGAAAAGAAGAAAACAAATACAAACAATGACACGCTGAAAAGAAACAGACACGAGAAAAATTGTATTTAATTTAAAATGAATTTAAAAACCTAATTCAACTTGTTAATAATGTCATTACGATTCAGTTAGCTTTCTTTTGTAATAATACGTCACTTTATCACGATTTAGTTTAAATGCCGATGACCTATTTTGATATTATAATAGACATGCCCTATATTTTAAAATCTGAAGGCCTCCCATTTAAAGCTGTTATGACTCTGCGTTATAACGAACGATTTATCTATCGCTCTATCAACATGAACAATTGGTACCGTTTCAAAATATATGTTTTAGCCATGGCAAATCGTGACTGTAGTATAAAGAAGTCATTACCCCGTTATAGCATATTGATTTTGCTATAAATAGTATAATTATAATAGGTACACAAGTTCAGTTAACAGAACAATTTCGTACTTTTATTTCATTCATTTTTTAAACGATTATCCATAAAGATAAGTAAATATGACTTATATATTGTAAAGAAATGGCATATTTATTTGGATTGTTACTTAGCCACAAATACTCCCTTTTGGTGGTTTTATTTTTCACGGTGACAAAAAAATAAAAGATCATGTTTAACTGATCTAAATATAGGCTAGCATCGCGATATAAAATTCAATCCGATTTGTGAAATGTATCTGAAAACAGGAGTTCAATAATTTAACTTTATGACTAATATTATAAAGTATGTATGAAAACAAAATGAAACACTTTATCAAACATGATAATAAAAATTTATCATTCTGTAGTAAACTTTAAAAAAGAGATTTGTTTTAACAAGTTATGGAAGATAATATATTTATATCATATGCATATATACATGTAACTATTCACTTCATATGCTTAATTACTAAAGCAGCATTCCTCCAGATCAATGATATTTTTCGTGAAATGTTTTAAAAATGTTTTTTTAAAAATAAAATATTGTGAAGTGCAAAATGCAAGTAATTTACACATTTTTTTTCAAAAACTGTTTATATTTGTTGAACTGGTACAGTCCCCCCAAAAAGAAACTTTTATGGTGAAACATCTGAATCATTATTTGCGTTAAGCGTTTTTGCAAATTAATAACTTTACACTGATTTATTCTTTAAAAACGCAAATTAATAATTTTACACTGATTTATTCTTTAAATATGGACGACGAGATACCACTTTGTTTTCATTTTATCACAAACTGTTTCCAGTCAACACTTTTCCCATGAGTGACACTTTTTAACAGAAAAAAAACAACAAACTATTTCATTTCTGAGGCTTAATGAGCCTTTTAATGTTAGAAATGACGTCATATTACACAAACAATGTCGATGCGACGGAAAAAAAACTTATCGTCACCTTTAGAATAGGTATATATAGAATACACATATAACAACAGCAACAACAACAACTATAACAACAACTATAACAACAACTAAACAACAGCAATACTTATGGTGGCTGACTTCTGTCATTTTGTGTATCGTGTCTTCGCCCTTTAACTTTGCAGGCGAAGACACGAGAACACATACTCTTTGCCCTTGACATATATCACCCACCATAAATACTGACTGTTATTCAATATACATACCAACAATCGGTGTTGTCTTCGCAGCATGATTTGTCACCCGTACATTCAAATGTGAAACCACCAGACTGGTGAGTGCAAGTTTCTTCACTACATACTTTGACGAAGGAGAAAAAACAACAGCATGTTATTTTAATGGCATTTTTCTTGTTTAATGTTACCATACTGTTAATACTATTGGAATTGAAAATTGAAATAAAAAACAGTATCTGCGTGGTTCGATCCTTGGTATTAAAGACACCATGAAATCTGTTTGAAAATAATTAGGAGAGTTGTCTATGTACATGTATAGTTTAATTAAGTATTGTCAAGCGTACAAAGAAAAAGATTCAGTGAATTGTCGAAATGACATTTTATTTTCGGAAAGTACGTTAATTATAATGGGTCCATAAAAATAGTAACGTAAGTTATAAGGAGAAATAATGTGATAACATAATAATAAATACAATCATATTTGCATAGCACGTGCAAATATGTCACGTGATCAATGAATATTTATATATTCCTTACACTATTCTTAATATAGCTTAATTTATGCCGAAGATAAACACCTTTGAACAACCCATGATCAGTCAGGTGTACATTCCTTAATTGAAAGAATAGTAATTTGCAGAAGGCGCATGCGCGAATTTATCGCTAAATCAACTCTGAAAAAGTTTGGCATATTTTGCAGTAATTTATTTTGATTTCTTATCTAATTCATGTGCAGACACATGTTGTGAAACCGTCTCTAGATATAAGAATACGGATCAACGTAATTATACATTTTTGAATTGGATTTATTAGATTTTGTCACTTAACACATAACCTGCTAAATTTCTTTAATGAACTTTCCCAACGTCCATTTTTGGGACTGTTCATTAAATTTGGGGATATCAATATATAAAATAGTAGTCAACCACCAGTGTACTGCCTGTATGACAAAACCACACGGTTGCGCATGCTAACCTGGCTCTAGACTGGTAGCAAAGGCTTAATAAATACATTCGGTTCCAGGAGGTCAAAGGTTAAATATCAAAATATCGTATAAACAAAACATGCTTACCTCTATAAGAAAGGATAAGAAATATCAAAATGAAATGAATTAAGTTCATGTTTATAGTAACAATAACACTTTGATTAAGTCCTGTTAATTAAACATTATATTGCGACAATCAATGGTACATTTGTTTAAAAAAAACTAAAATTATTGAACAATTGAATGTATGATTACGCAGATATGGGTTTTTTAAGGTGGCAACGCGGTGTAGGATTACTAACAACTGTGTTACTTCAATAGAATATAAATGACCTCGGTTCTTTGTCTACTAATTGCACACGTATCAAACAAAAATATAGTGTTAAATATTATATATCCAAAAAATCGAACCATATTTTTTTTACCCTTCTGTTTAGTCTTTTTGAAATCTCAATATAAATATAGTTAATTAACGTGACCTAATAGAAACATGATCTCTAGGCAACAAATAGTGACGTGAACCCGGCTATACCACACAGTGGGTCATCGGATAACACTTTTTCTAATTGGATATACTTCGGTTATTTCATAAACACAGCTGACAAATAAAGAGTCATACCTGTCAAACAAATGAGCCGCGTCATGACAAATCCAACGTAATGCGTTTGCGACCAGCATGGATCCAGACCAGCCTGCGCATCCGCGCAGTCTGATCAGGATCCATGCTGTTCGCTATCAATTTCTCTACTTGTAGCGAACAGCATGGATCCTGATCAGACTGCGCGGATGCGCGTGCTGGTCTGGATCCATGCTGGCCGCAAACCCATTATGTTGGTTTTGTCGTGACGCGGCTCAAATAAAGATGCCTTGGAGGTTATCGTGAATCTGGGGGAAAATCATTCTTAGGGGCAGTCTGGAAAATGCCTTTAGTAACCGGTGCCGACCACGAGCAGACAACACGTCTGATCCCGGCATGCACTTGTCACATGGGAAGAATAAATTGCCGGTCGCAAGTTCATGGGTTCATTTTGGTGATTATATTCACAACTTCATTAGGATCGCATAGATTATTTAAGTTATATTATTCTTAGATTTATAGATGTAATGTTAAGTTCTTTTTTGCGATAAGGAGATGAGTTATTGTTCAATCTTTTTATCAAAACTAAAAATAATAAAAAATAATATACAGAATCTCAAATTTTATTAACAAAGAAAACTTGGTATAAAAATAGAAAAAAAAAAACAGAAACGATTATTTTATAAAGGTAAAATGCAACAATGAAATAATGATTAACAATGTAAAAAAAAATCTATAACTTGTAAAAAAGAAATAGTTGTTCAATAACAATAACAACATGTAAATAACAACATAAAAATTATTATTACAAAGATAGTACATGTATATTGTTTTAGTTGAATATAACCATAGAAATCAAAAAGTGTTGAAATAATATCGCGGTGTTAAACAGAAAATGAAAATATAATTACTTTAACTGTGTAAATAATCTTGAATTATTCACATACTTTACGAAATACTTATTAATATATATCAAGTGCTAACTAAAGATGAATGTCTATCGATTATTAACTTAATAACATTTTTTATTTGATTAGAAAATAATATATTTTTAATTCTGTGATAGATGGTAAAAAGTCTGTTTGAAGACTTAAAAGGACAGCAAATAAACTTAGCATGCATACAAAATAATGATAAGACTTAAATCGTTGAAAAAATATCTTCTACTTGACAAAACACTTAAATATTGCCTGGTGGTCTTGAACTGTAAATAGAAGTTGTAAGCGTGCTTCAAATGGAATCGAATTAATAATTCGAAAAATTAAGACTTATCTTAAAGATAACCATACGATTACAGGTTAATAAATGTGGACGTTTAAAAAAACCCAAAAAAAAAAAAACAAAAAAACAATCGGATGCGTCGATTGAATAAAAAAATACATGTACACCATTGAGTGTTTTCAATGTCACGTGACGGTCTATCTTTTGTTAGTACAATTTTTCTTGCAAAAGTCAAGACACAAATCACATAATACACTTATATACATATATCAACTAAAATCAAAGAAGCCCGCTTCTAGATGCATGTGAAAATATGCGTTAAATGAGGTCAATGAACGTAGATTTAAAGAAAAGTTAAACACGATAAAACCCAATCTACACTATGAACATGTACGTATATATCCTATAAATCCGATGTCACAGATTCCAAAACAAAACTTGTAAAAAAAATCCAGACAAAAGCTGGAAAATAACACACAAAAAAGAATCTAACTTATTAATGCTGAAGAAAGTGCTTACGAAGTGAAAGTGATGTCATCGATTTACTGAGCTAGCTTTTAGTGAAAAAAAAGATAATCTAATTCTCATTAAATTTTCTTAGGCCAAGGTATCGTAGTTTCGTTTGTTAGATTTAAGGTGTTTTCAGTTTTAAATTCACTTTATCATCCAACAGGAACAGATCTTTGGTAATTTACACCGGGGGAATTTTCTTTTCCTCCTCAGGGTACGGTGGGAGGTAAACTTCTTTAATCGGCCCCTGGGGACGCAAGCTGTACTTTGGTGGTAAATCATCGTATAGCGGGTTGGCTGTGTGGCCCAATGGTGTAACCACTGTCCTGCCTAAAATTTAATATAGACATTGCTAAGTTCTCGGACATATAGAATAATTGTTTAATTATACGATAAAAGCAAACCAATTTGATTAAGTGCTTCTTGATGACTCGTGTTACGAAGTTTGCAGAAAACGTCACGTTCTATTGATACTATTCTTGAATTACCAGACCCATAGTAATTCTGTAAATTCGAGAAGTTCTATCTAATAACTGTTTCATTCACGTGGTCGAAAGTGCGATCTTTCATTTCATGACCTCTACTTATTTACAATTTGAAACTCGTAAAGTTACCAAACTTTGATTACAAGTAGTATGATGAAGTAAACAAGCCAGAATTGCCAAGCGCACCTGTAGATCTATAAAACGTATTTTTACATCTATTTATAGAAATAAACTTACTGCGTTTGTCCTCCTCAGGTTGTACCGCCGGCTTGGCCTTGCATTTCTTTACAATTGCAACAATAGCAATTATGAGGAGAGCCATGCATACGCCCCCGCCAATAGCAATGGCAGCCGTCTTACCAACAGAAAGCCCTTTCGGTCTTAAACAGAATGTTTATTCAATTGTGTAATTCTAATAATAATCTATGTTAATTTGGTTTTATAATTTTACGTACAGGTATCATATGCATAGGTTTATATATTCTTATATATTATACGAATTTTTAATTAATTTAATTCAGGAAAGATTGATTGAAATATTTATCTGCGCATTGAGTATGTTAAAAACTAAAGACATTGGAAAATTACTTTGTTGATATTTTGACTCAACTAATTACGCAACAGAGGAGAACTTTCTACTACGTAACAAAAATTCAATTTAGTATAATTATAAATAAAAAAAAACTTTCAAAAGGTCACACAAAAGTAGATTTGGGGTTATTACGACATAAGGCGATGTGTAACGTTTCGTAAGTGTTCGTAAGTTATCGTTAGTGTTCGTAATTGGTCGTAGCACTTTTAAAAGAATGATACATACTTGTCTTCATCCTCGTCATGACTGCTGTGTTTATGACGATGATTATGTCCTTGGACCAAACCTTATCAAAGAACAAAACGTAACATTGTCATATAACTGTGTTACATTCTAACAAACATTATTGTTTTCCATTTTGTCATTCTTTTATTTATTTAATTTTTTAAACAAATTTAAGCCTTTTTTTAGCCTATGACCAAGGTAAAATATACTTCAATGTATCTGATTTAGACGAATCAAACTTTGATATTAAATATAGTGGTACTAAGTGTAAAATTTGAATTGAAGTACAATTTTTGTAAAAGCGTTTTATCTACGGAAATGATTATAATATTTATTAAATGAATTATACATAAAAAGAAAAAAATAAATAAATAAATAAAAAAGTGTCGTATAAAGAAAAAGGATTAAGTCCTTAAAATTAAAAGTAGTATTCTTACATGAATCATATCAAATAAGATAGTTTAACATTTTGAAATTAATTGCAAATTAAAAAATGATTAACTAACGGAAATGATTATAATATTTATTATTAATAAATATATTATATATAAAAAGAACAAATAAATAAATAGATAAATAAAACAATGCCGTATAAAGAAAAAGGATTTAAGTCCTTAAAAGTAGTATTCTTACATGAATCATATCAAATAAGATATTTTAACATTTTGAAATTAATTAAAAAAATGATTAGTTAAATAATGTATAATACTAACCAATTACTACCAGTAGAACAAGCACGGTAAATTTATAATCCGCCATGTTTAAAGTCCACCGTAGATGTAAATGTATGCGAAACTAGAACAGTTGTGGTACATATTTAATTTTATATATCGATTTCATCGATCTTGGGTTTACATTTTGACCTGCACTTAAAACGACAGGCTATACATTTGGAATACGATATGCGTTTTAGAAAAATAGTTATCTTAAATGCTGTAATTTTATACTCTAGATAACGTAGATAACAATCGATCCATTTACGCACAAAACAACAACAACAACAACATAAAAAAAATTCCGCACCGTTTCATCCATACTGTGCATAAACTAAAATAAACACTTGTATATGTGAATAGAATATATTGTGCAGAGGTCCGAAGGTTTAGTTAACATTTACATCACATGAACAGAAAATTTTAAGTTAAATAGCACAGAAAATTACCATGTTCTGACATAACATGAAATCGCATCTATTAAAGCCTTAAAGTATGATAAACTGTAGACATTGTTATTGCTTTATGCCCTACGCAGAATGCGCATGCGCGAAATGCATCATTCATTGCTATGGAAAATCGTATTATAAAAAGGTCTATAGCTTATAGCCTGTTCTGCATTATGGTCTTATGATAAATAATTAATTTTCTTTATATGTGAAAAATGATCTTTTTACTCACTTAAAATGTTAGGACATTTTTCTCAAGTTTGATATCCTTCATCTGGAGGTATGTAGCTTTCATTTCGCTATGAATCTAAAGTTATTTGAGTATGTCAAACAATTATGCGCTAAGCTATGTATTTATTTAAGCAGAATTTATAAAATTAATAATCTCCGAACGTACAAGTCATAAAAAAATGAAAGGCAATTGGTTCCATTCGGTGTTTGCCAGTGCCTGATACAGTTCGTAAATAAACATTTATTCAAATTATTCAATCGATTGATAATGGTAAAACGGTCCATTTAAAATTTGAAGGATTTCAAAATCATTAATTTAAAAAATCGGAATACATAGAGAATACATGGTTGATGTCGGGATGGAGAAGGTTTATCCGGTAGGAGAGAAAGTGTATCTTGGCGAGCTTTAGCGAGCCAAGATTCACTTTCGCAGCGAACCGGATAAACCTTCTCTATCCCGACATCAACCATGTATTTGATTTATCCTGTTTTTAATCATGTTTTTAGATTAATTAAATGGTTTAATTCTTACTTTTCCCCGTTAAAATAACATCTATACGTAATTTTGTTTTGCTGCTAACCCTGTGACGTCATCATATGACGTAATGACTGAAGATAGACAAGTTTATCCGGCAGGGCTTTATCCAGCTGATGATAGGGACAGTACTTAGCAGGATAAAAAACATAGGCTACCAAAGTATTGAACCAGGTCAGATTCCATTGATGTGTCGCGTGGCGGGCTCTTTGCTGGGGGTAAACACTAATCAAATTCGAGTCCAGCAGGTTAAGGTTTTCACAGAATCCGTAATTCGGTCGCTCTTTATTTATATAAAAAAACAATTATTAAAATATTCTCTTATCAAAGTGTATACAGCTATACCTTGCTGTATTTGATATTTAGTTCCTTACTCGAAGAAAACGCCCATTTGTTAATTTCCTGTAGAGTACATGCACATGCACGAATCAATTGCTAAAATATATTTTGAAACAAAAATGTTGAAGAATTATTAACGCTTTATTCTGGTTCCTTAATTTAATTCATGTGCGTTAAATCACATACATACATTTTGTGAAAAGGTATCTAGATATAACTATAAAAATCAGCGTGATTACACAACTTTTGAAATTATATTGTCAGAATAATTTCACTGGCTACAGATTAAGATACGTCTCTTATCCGACACGTGTGACGTTTGATCATCTTCTGCACTTGTCACGTGGGAAGAATAAATTGTCACCCACTGGCAGGTCAATAGGCTCTTTTTTGTGATATATTTCTTAACGTCATCAAGGTCACCGTCATTTTAATATTAAAGCTGTATGCATGCAATGATGAATTCAGTTTATTATGTTTTCGACAGGGATATATGTTCACATTATTGTTCAACTTTCTGTTATAATGCTGAAAATAATACAAAACAATATACAGAATCTCAAATTTTATTAACAAAGAAAACTATAAAAAAAAAGATATAAAAAGCAAACAGACAAACAGAAACGATTACTTTATAAAAGTAAAATGGAACAATGAAATAATGATTAACAATGTAAAACAAATCTATAACTTGTAAAAAAGAAATACTTGTCCAATTTAACACCAATGACAACATAAAAATAACAACATGTAAATCAACAATATAAACATTATTATCACAAAGATAATATGGTGTTTTAGTGGAATGTAACCATTGAAATAAAAAAAACTGTTGATGATAATATCGTGGTGTTATAACAAAAATTGAAAATATTAAAAACTTAACTGTGTAAATGATATTGAATTACTCAAATACGTTACGAATATTTTGATTGCTAACTAAAGATGAAAGTATAACGATTATTAACTAAATAACAATTTTTATTTGCTAATAAAATAATTGTTTTTTATAAGATAGATGGTTAAATTTTGTTTGTTTATTTGCACAGTTAATAAACTTAGCATGCATAATTGCATATATATATATATATATAAATTAATGATAAGACTTAAATCGTAGCAGATTTATCTCTTTTTTTACAAAACACTTAAAGATTTCCTGGTGGTCTCGTACTCTAAATAGAAGCAAATTAAAGTTTTAAGCGTCTCTAAACTGGAATCTAATTATTTTTATTATTTAAAATTATTTAAAAAACTACATTTACACCATTGAATGTTTTAAAAGCATCGTCTTCAATGTCTCGTGACTGTCTATCGTTTTTTAGTACGTTTTTCTTGCATTTTGTCAAGACAAAAACATATTATACACTTGAATACAATGTATCAACTAAAATCAAAGAAGCCCGCTTCAAGATTATATGTGAAAGTATGCGTTAAAATGAGTTCAATTAACGGAATTTAAAGGAAAGAAAAAACGATTAAAACCCAAGCTTTACTATGTACAAGGTATATCCTACTATGGTAATAAACCCGATGTCACAATTTCTAGAACAAAATTAAAAAAAAAATCTTAAAAAAGGGTTGGAAAATAACAAACAGAAAATAATTTAAATTATAAATGCTGTCGAGGGTGTTAACGAAGTTAAGTGATGGTATCTATTTGTTAAGGTAGCTTCTAGTGAAAAAATTTTTTTTATTCTGATGAATTTTCATAAGTTATGGAATACCGTATTGCAATTTCTTTTGTAATATTCTGGGTATTTTCAGTTTTTAATTCACTTAATCAAAGGAACAGTTCGTTGTTAATTCGTTGTTAATTTACACCGGGGGAATTTTCTTTTCCTCTTCCGGGTACGGTGGGAGATAAACTTCGTTGACCGGCCCCTGCGGGTGCAAGTTGTACTTTGGTGATAAATCATCATATAGCGGGTTGACTGTGTGGCCCATTGGTATAACCACTGTACTGTCTGAAACACAAGAGAGAAAGAGAATAAGTTCTCGAGCATATAGAATACTTGTTTTACGAGTTAAGCAAAACAAATATTTTTTGCAGGACTAGTGTTCCTTACTCATTTCTGTTACGAAATTCGTAGAAAAAGTCACGCTCTTATGGTACTATTCTTAAACTACCAGATAAATAGTAATTTTGTAAAATTCGACAAGTCATTACAGGAATTCCATCTATCATATAACTTCCATTATTTTATGTCTACCATTGTCTAGCATTGTATTGCATTGACTTTTATTGTTTTGCATTGTATTTTTATTGTATCGTATCGTATCTTAACGTATTGTATTGCATTACATTGTATTGTATTGTATTGTATTGCAATGATGTTGTAATATTATTTTGTTACAGGTCATGGACATTTTAGCCTAAACTAGAGGGTTGTTCACATGTGAATTTTAAATAATAAAATCTTCTTCTTCTTTTTGTCGTCATGGTATAGTACGCGTAATGTTTTATTTCACGACCTCTAGATATGAGAAACTTGAAGCTTGTAAAGTTACCAAACTTTAATTATTATGAAGAAATAAATCAGTCAGAAATGACAAGGACACCTGTCGATCTATGTGACGTATTTTTTGCAGCTATTTATAGAAACAACTTACTGCGTTTGTCCTCCTCGGGGTTCACCGCCGGCTTGGCCTTGCATTTCTTTACAATTGCAACGATAGCAATTATGAGGAGAGCCATACATACGCCTCCACCAATAGCAATGGCAGCCGTCTTACCAACAGAAAGCCCTTTCCGTCTAAATATAGATATACATGATAATTCAATTGTGTAAGTTCTAATTACAATTTATGTTAATTTGTTAATTTGTTCTTGTAATTTTACATAAATGCATTTGACTACAAAGCTAATGTTGTAAATTCTTATTAACTTTTTAAACTTGATCTTACTTAATTTTATTCAGGAATGAATTGTTGAAATATTCATCTGCGTATTGAGATATAAAACATAAAGACATTGGTAAATTTAGCAAAAATGATCCTTAGAGAATGTATTCCAGTCGCTTAGTTGGAATTTCGTCTCAAATAATGACGTAACAGATCTGGAGGAGTACTTCCTTTTACGTAACAGGAATTACTCATGTATAATTATCAGGCCACAAAAGTAGATTTGGGGTTATAACGATTTTAGCCGATGTGTATCGTTTCGTCAGGGTTCGTAAGCGTCCGTTAGAGTTCGTTAATGTTCGTTAGAGTTCTTAGTCCTTTAAAAGAATGATACATACCCGTCATCGTCATCATCACTACTGTGGCTATTGTGTTTGCCATGGACCAAACCTTATCAAAGAACAAAACTAAACATTGTCATGAAACTGTATTACATTTTAAACACATCTGAGCCGCGTCAGGAAAAAACCAACGTTTTTTTTGCGACCAGCATGGATCCAGACCAGCCTGCGCATCCGCGCAGTCTGATCAGGATCCATTCTGTTCGCTTACAAACCCTATTACAAGTCGAGAAACTGATAGCGAACAGCATGGATCCTGATCAGAATGCGCGGATGCGCAGGCTGGTCTGGATCCATGCTGGTCACAAACGAATCCCGTTGGTTTTGTCGTGACGCGGCTCATTTTTATTTGTATATTTTTTTTTTGACAATTTTAACTTTAGTATTATTAACGCGATAAGATATATGCGTCAGCACTATAACTAAAACTGCATCTACGTGTAATCAATGTTTGGTTTAGAAATATAAAAGGCTGTCGGAAGAAAGGGACTGTACACATGTTTCCTGTATAAGTGGTGCTATATCTAACGATGGAGGGGACATTATGCCCGAATGATAAAAGAATCTGATCATAATTATGGAGGTTCTAGTCAGATGCCGGTTTTTTATAGTGCACATGCGGACCACAAAGTTAAGAAATCATGATATAACCTTAAAATATATATTTTAACTATTCACGGTGCAAACGTGATTTTTGAGTATGAATAACTCGACTCGATTATTCCATTAAAGAAAAAAAATCTTTTAAAACGACAAGATTGAAAATGTTGCAGGCTCGGTTTGATTTAACCTAAATGCCTTCTAGCACCGGCTACTTAAGCAAAAATCAATATAGAAGCATCCCTTTAAAGCGGTCTTCATTTTGTATTTTCTGTTTTAACAATTATTCTATGTTGTTACAAGCTAAGTATTTCAGAAACCTTATCTCGTAGCAATGTAAAGCCTTGCCCGAGAGCTATTTAAAACGCATCAGGGATGTATTTTTCTAAATATAGAAGATAGGGAAAGGAATCGTCCATTTTAATACTAATATTTAAATATAGGATGTGGACCGGTAGATTAGGCGAATCGTAGGGGTTTCCTTATTGTCCATGATTATCTATGTATTTAATGGTCGGCAAAATTTGATTTTCTAACTTAATTCATTAAATTTTTATTTGATAATTATATGATACGATATATCTGAAAGCCGCTTGAATATAGAAACATTATCTAGAGAACAGTGTGGCCATACCACGTGACATTGACGTCATTTTCGGCATCATTTCCAAGACAATTACGCTCGATTCGGAAAAGAAAATAGCCGTAAATATTTTATTTCTGTACCAATTTATTTGAGATATGCACCAGTCTACGGGGAAAAATATAAGCTTTCCACAGAATATTGGATCTTTGTCAGTTTATAAGCCGTTTTATCAAACACTTTGCATAACCTTGGAAGTTGCTTGTATTAGAGCGGGCTTCAGTTGCAAGCTATTTCGTTTTCTGGCGTTATCTGGTCTACGTCATGATTAAAAAGTCAGGTTTACATCAACCGGGAGTACGGAAGGCAAAACTCTACCTTAATATGGTCATATTTTTATTATGAATGACATAAATCTTAAATTTTTATTCAATTGTCAATTTTGGCACCACTTCCAAGTCGAAAAAAAGGACTACAGTTTAAAGCAGATTTTACAATCCGTTCCAAATGCGAAGCAACATGACTACCGTTCTCTTTCTAAAATTTAGTTTTTCATTGTTGATCTTTCACAGAGAGATGGTGAAAAAACTGATTGTTCCTAAAAGCAATAACACTTACTTGTATCGCAAAAGTGCACGTCAAATCACGTAGATTTAGTCCTGTCGGAAAATAATATTTTGGTTTCGTTTTGAAGATGTTTAAAGTATTGCTCATTTTATCCTATGTAGTAAAATGTGTTTTATTCTATTTCACAATGGCGAAATTGATAAGAAATATATGTGCTCTGAGTGAGAGAAAGAGTTAAAATAAAAAACACACTTTTGTATGCTATGGAAAGGGTTACACTTTAACGCGAGTGTTGTAAAGCTAAAGGTATTTTTTCAGTTTATTTTTGTAAAGAGTAACTGACAAACACTGACACTCGTGAATGTGATGTATAGGTTCTTCTGTCTTCAAAAGAGAGACTTTTAAAAGGTATGTATTTTTCTGGAATTGTTGTATAATAAATTTCTAGAGTTTGATAAACGAAATCACAATTTGAACTTGGAAGTTGCATTACTTGTGATTCTCTATTTATAAAAAAGACCTAAAATAGCCATGAATAAGAACGAGAATGGACGCCATGTGGAGTAAAGAAAGTAGAAAATAGTAAACAGATAAATGATTTTACAAACCAACAGCCATCGATCACAGTCAAATTTCTTGAAACAAAACATTCAAAAAGACGGAAATAACAATGATTATCAATAATTATTTAAATTTACATTAACATCTGTAATAGCAACATCGGCAAGATCTACGACTGGGGTCCATATGCCACTGATGCGTCCATTGAATAATTGATAGCTAACATAAGCTTAGTAAAATTACGATTACATTTGAAGAGTATATTCAATTTTTATCCTTCAACTGTCAAATGACTTACTTCTTTATTTACATATTTGATAATTCACTTATTTAGTATATGCGTCATGTTTGTCATTTTTTAGATTTTAATGTGTGGTCCATTTTTAAATCTTAAAATGCCACAAAAAGCCTGTTGAGGAAATCTGCAGGTCATGCCGTGTGCAATAATCCATGCATTTACAGCCAATGACTACATCGATAAGAAATAGTCCCAAATAGCCCTATCGTTTTTATTCAGTTGAAAGAGACATTATTGTTAAAAAGTTCTCCTCGATTTAAATGTTTTCAAACCATAAATATTCCGTTCCCTTCCTCTCTTTACAATGTATATTGGTGAGCTCTCTGATAAAGCTGAGTTGACTGATATAATTAACTAAATTTGTCAGATATGCAGTTTATCAACAGAAATAAATGCAATTACAAAATAAATAGTGTTTAAAAGTGTGTTTAATAGTGTTCTTAAGTGAACGAAGTTATATCCAGTTCACGAAAAACGGTTACCGTGGGTATGAAAACAGGATGTAAAAATATTTTTTATCAACGAGTGCCACTGTGTTACAAAGCTGAATCTATCATACCAAAACATTGCTACAGGTTCTTTATATGTATGTGTGGTTATACGTATAAATAACTCTTTACAAAAGAAAAACCTTTGACTTTAAAATTGCCGCGTTGAGGCGTAACCCTTTTCACAGCATACAAATCGAAGTGATCCTGAATGTGCACGTTCATTGGACAGGCTAGCTAAGTCAATCCAAGCCTGCAACATTTTCAATTTTGCCGTTTTGGGCAATATTTAGGGTTTCTTTTTTGGCCATATGAATGATTTCTATTCATAAACAAGTCTTAGAAGTTACATATGTGAGAATCTTTAGACGAACCAGAAATGTACATTTAGATATAGTGTTTGCGAATATAATTTAAAACAATACTGTAAACTGCCTTACATCGTGTAAAAATTTGAAATGAAGTATTTTTTTTTTTATTTATTTTTTTTTCTTTTGTAAAAAGCTTTTAATACGGAAATGATTATATTTAGCTTTTTATACGGAAATGATTATATTTATTTAATGAATGATCAAAAAGAAGAAAAAAGATATATAAAAAACAGTGTCGTATAGAGAAACAAGATTCTATCTTTAAAATGTAGTTTATTTTTCCGTTGATATTCTTTACATGCATTACATTAATTGAGATAAAATTGTGTCTTTAAATAATTAAAGATTAAAATGTTTAAACGCCATGCCAGTGCCGTATTAAAAAAATAATAAGATGTAGGCCTTTAGATGTAGTTTTCCGTAGACATTCGCATATGTATCATATAAATTGTAGTTTTGAAATTAATTCAAAATTAAAAAATGTTTAATTCAATAATCAAATAATTAAATAATACTAACCAATTATTGTCAGTAGGACTACCACGGTAAATTTATAATCCGCCATGTTTAAAGTCCGCCGTATCTGTGAACGTATGCCAAACTAAAACAGTGGTGGTACATATTTAATTATAATAATTATATCGATTTTGTCGATCTTGGTTTTACATTTTGACCTGCACTTCAAAAGACAGACTATATACATTTGGAATATGATATCAAAACTATTGCGTTTTATCAATAAAAGCTGTAATTTTATACTTTAGATTACGAGTACACAGACAGTTATTAAGTACTATCGATTTATTTAAGTTGAATTTTGGAAAAAAAAAATAAAAAAAAACAAACAAAACAAAAAACCAGCAACAACAGAAAAAAGTCAGCACCGTTCCATGGAGGCACTGTGCGTAAACTAAAATGCATGCTGGTATATGGGATTAGAATGTAACGAGCTTAGTTCCGAAGGTCTAAAGCATACAGCATTGTTATCTGTATCCCATTTCTGTTAAAACAATATACAGTCAAAAAAACTGTGCACGTAAGTTTACATACATGTACATTAACAGAAAAGAAATCAAGCATTAACGAATAAAATCACGCGAGCACGCATCGTTGGAACGACAAAATAATCAAACAAACGTATACTTTTATGCAAGAATTGCGCTCATGCGTTTATTTTCGTGCATTAACATCAGAGGTCCTTTCTTCGCACTTATGGCTCGGACTTTTAATGTGTACTTGTGCTTCTGCCGGAAAAAAGGTGCATTTACCCTGTATTGTGGTGAACTATTTTTCAACGGGCGAATATATTAAAATGAATAACGTCACAGTTCATGAAAACAGATGAAAATAAGTTTTGTAAATGTGCGTGAGATCTCGTGAGCCATATCGTGTCATCATAATTAATCTAAGAAATCTATTTCTATAGTTAGATATTTTCAAATAGTTCCATCCGAGGAACTACATTTTATTGCGTTGTAATCTGAAGTAAATGATGTTTGTTCCGGGTCAACGATTTTAGAATTTTTGTAAAACTGAGGAATACTTCGAAGATTGAAAAACTACGGATACACACAATGTGATTATGTTTATTTACAAAAGCAAAACTTGTGTATTTTGTATAAAAATAGAAGAAGAAAAACAGAAATATTTGCACTATAAATATAATATGCAGCAAATAATTAAATACAGACAATGCATGATAGATTGATGACTTGTAAATGATATATATTTGAAAAATAAATACTACATGTACTATATATAGAAAATATGTCAAATACCTACACAAGTAGATAATCGAATAGAAAGCCTTGTATTTAAGCTGCATGCCAGATGAGCCAAAATATTTCAAGAAAAATTAACATAAGGAAAATATACTAAGAATGTAAGAATCATTAAAACGATTTAAGATTGAAGTAATAATTTAAATGAGATGTAAACTGATTTTGTAGTATTTATCAACATATTTTATACTGCGTTACTTACATAGTAACGGCTACTTTTTGCTTACTGTGACCTGTTTTTGTTAATTACGTGCATTTGAAGTGTTCTTTGCAGTGTTTAAATTATTTTCTTTGTTCACTTTACAATATTTTATTTTTAAATAAATTTTAAAAATTTTCATAAAAGATTGGCTTGAATCTGGTGGTATGCTGCTGAAAATGCAATACAACCATATTTACAATGAAAATCTAAAGATGATGAAATTATATCGTTGAGTAAATTGAAAAGTATATTCTTTACTCATTGCCAATACATGTAACAATTTTAATGAAAACAATCGAAAGTTGCTAGTTTTTCATTTACAAAATGTGCAAGACTGAGACATGAACTAAAATGATTGTTTTGTTGTTGTTGTTGTTATGTGCGTGCATGCGTGCGTGCGAATATGCTTTAAATCCTACATTAATTAGTGGGGAAATATCTGTATTTTCATATACGCCCATGAAAACAAAACTTGCAATTTTTCTTACTTTTCATTGTACATGTATTATTAAAAACATTCATTAAAATAAACAAATATCCTGTATGTTATAAAATAACATTTAAAAAAACTTTCATAAAATACATTTGTATAGTTGTTATTTCAGTCAAATTGGACCTTAATTTGCAATTCCGTTGGACCAGGTATGTTTTGTTATTCGGAGCAACAATAGCTTGGGTCATATGCCACAGAAACAGGAAGGATGGATTTGGCTTACCTCGGGCGTTATTGAAAACAGTACATATTCTTTAAATTAAACAATTGATCCTCGTATCACAGCAAAATTCTTTATAATCTAGAGACTTTGAAATATTGAAAATATGCAATGCTGGAGAATGACGTGTTATCTTTACCCCCTTTGAGTTCAAGCATGTTTATTCATAGGTAAAAATTGATGAGTCGGGTGAAAAGATGGTAATGGTATAAACAAGGTAAAAATACAGTGTAAAACAACACGTACGTGGTTGACGATAAATGAATTATAATTATCTTTCGTGACGATCTGTTTAAAGTGGATTGGTCTACAATGTGCAAAGTTTCCTTTTTGAAAAAAAAAATGTACCATTTGGATATTTGTAATATTTCCAATGTGACAAGTATGAACATTTGTAGCGTTGCGTGAATTGTTGATATTTATATAATATTTATATACTTTTTTATGATGCCATGTTCTTAAATTCAAAATAATAAATAATCTAATTGAAAGACGTGTCTCTGCGATATCAGTTACACAAAAGTAAAACACGGTCTAAATATATATATTATACTGACAAAGCATCAGAACTGTTCTTAATTCTAGAAGAAAAAAAAACACACACATATACATGTACAATGCCCTTATCAGTCAAGGCTGCATAAATGTTTGCATACTTCAATAATAACACTAATTTTCTTAACTGAATTTCGTATAAAAATATATATCTAGTTGCGAAAAAATTCTCATCGATCAATGCATAGGCAAAGCACATTCTCTTTAAATTTGTAACATTCGAGATAATATAAGTTTATAATCTACTCTGTCATCCCTCAGGGGCAGTAATTCGTAATTTACTCCGGAAGAGCTGTTTTCTTTTCCTCCCCTTGGTATGGAGGGAGATACACATCTTTACCCGGCCCCTGAGAGCGCAAGCTGTACTTTGGTGGTAAATCATCATATAGCGGGTTGTTTGTGCGGCCCATGGGAGTAACCACTGTTTTGTCTGAAATATATGTTGGAAAAATATATATACAATTCTCCTAAATACAAAATGTGTACGAATGTAACACGAAAAGAATGAAACAATTGAATAAATGATGCAGCACAGAGTTGGGTTTTCTGTAAGTCGATTTACATAACATTTAATTTATACGCTGTCATATGCTTTTGTTGTTGTTTTTGTTGTTGTTGTTTTTAATTTTCAAAACATTTTTACTTTGTAATGTTAAATAATATTTAACAGTATAAAGATCATAAATTGGCGTATTAAATTAATATAACAGAAATGCATAGCGCACCTGCAGATTCATGACGTATTTTTGCAGCTATTTATAGAAATAACTTACTTCGTTTGTCCTCCTCGGGGTTCACTTCCGGCTTGGCCTTGCATTTCTTTATAATAGCAACAATAGCAATTATGATCAGAGCCAACAACACGCCGCCACCAATGGCAATAGCCGCAATCTGCCCAACAGTAAGCTTTTTCGTTCTAAATATAGATACACATATGTGAATGATACCATTCATTTGTGCAGTTCGAGTAATATTATTATGCATATACATATGTGCTTCATATGTGTTTATCTAAATATAGAAACTAAAACAAAAGTTCATTAAATTTGTATAATTCTAGATATATTTTATTCGTATCTACGAGATGAAAATTTAGACATTATATGCGAATTTAAGTGTGTAATGCTAAATAGATATACATATATGTAATAACGTGTGTAGTTGTAGATACACGATTATTTGTACATGCATTTGTGCAGAAGGTGTTCTAGATATAAACACACACAAATGTGTTTTTTCATTTTTGTATTATTATATTTTATATTATCTATATTATATTTCGTCCACATTCAGTTGAAATGGTAAAAAAAATTACTGCTCTGACATGGTGTTTAGACATCGTGATTTTTTGTGACATAGTGTTGGGACATCGTAATTTTTTGTTGTGATATGGTGTTGGGACATCGTGATTTTTTGTTGTGATATGGTGTTGAAACATCGTAATTTTTTTGTTGTGATATGGTGTTGGGACATCGTGATTTTTTGTTGTGATATGGTGTTGGAACATCGTAATTTTTTTGTTGTGATATGGTGTTGGGACATCGTGACTTTTTTGTGACATGATGTTGAAAAATCGTAATGTTTTGTTGTGATATGGTGCTGGGACATTGTGGTTTTTTGTTGTGCCATGGTGTTGGGACATCGAATTTTTTTGTTGTGATATGATGTTGGGACAACGTGATTTTTTATTGTGACATAGTGTTGGGCCATTATAAATTTTGTTGTGATATGGTGTTGGGACATCGTGATTTTTTGTTGTGTCAAAGTGTTGGGACATCGTTATTTTTTGTTGTGATATGGTGTTGGGACATCGTGATTTTTTGTTTTGATATGGTGTTGGGACATCATAATTTTCATTTTTGACATTGTGTTTGGACATCGTGATTTTTTGTGTTGGTGTGATATGGTGTTTAAAATACTCTCTGGCGCTTTTTACCCCATTAGAAAGATATTGAATAAATAAATGTTACATGTACAAAGTTGCAATTTTAGAAATAGCACTTACGTTTTATTTCAAATTGAAAATTACTCTTATGATTTGGATTTGAGCTTTAAAAACGAGATTTAAAACAGTATTTTTGCATAATTTGGCTCGAGTGTTTTTAGTAAATTTTGTTTGCTTAGCCAAACACAAGTTTTAAATATATGTATACGGTTAAAATACTCACTGAATAAAATAATTTATTCTAGTCTTTACATTAACTGACTAAATACGCTGTGGTAACAATAAACTTGTAAAAGAACAAAAACTTAAAAGAAGTGCCAATTGATTGCCTGTGATTTCCATGTCAGATTAAACTTTCATATAATTATAATTATGATAATATGTAGTAAATATACAATTTATGTTTGTTATTCCATACAATGATGCTTATCTTAAAAAAATGTATATCAAATAAACGTGACTTGAACTCAACCGTTGAGAAATTACAAACAAGAATTAAATTTATCGAAAAGATTGACTAGCTAGCCTGGATTCGTTATGGTTCGTAGTCCTAAATAAGTAGACTACTTACTTATCTTCGTCTTCATCGTGACTACCTCCGTGTCCTCCACCGCCTTGAACCAAACCTAATTACAGAAAAAAACACCTAAAAATGACGCCTACGTGTGACTGTGTTATAAATAAATAGATAACTTTTAATTATTTCATTATACCCATGAATTATTTCATATTTGTGGAAAAAAATTAATATGAAAGTGGGCGGAGCTAAAAGTCATATTCATTTTTGGAACTACTTTCTCAGATGTTTCTTTAGTCTTCAGCTATTCATTTCATCAGCAGAAATTATTTTGTTCTGTGGTTAATTGTGTATTGTACATTGTACCTATAAAAAATGTATAACTGCGCGCTGTGCGATTGCATCTGCATACAAATACATCTAGAACATTTTTCCTTGAAGGTAAAATTAAGTAAAAAAAGGTTGGTATTTCTTTTTATTTTATTTTATTTATTTATTTTCTTTTTGTTTTCCGTGAAATATGGAACATATTGTCATTTTACATGATAAATTTCTATATACATTATTTACTTCACTCGCCGTCCCGGCTGGAAATAAATGAAAATATGTGGACTTTTATCATGTTTTGTGAAACTATATTCCATATTTCACTTTATCGAAAAACTAATCCTCTAAATATTTGTTAGCCATTGTTAAATCTTTCACTTTGCACGGTACAGAAGCTGATATCTGTTTTGTTTGGTACTACAACACTGTTTCGTACTAAAATTCCTAACAGAGAGACTGTGAGCTAGATACCCGTGTAAGGCTGCGCTATTACATTATCGTGTCTATCGCGGCCTTTTTGACATACTCTAAGCTAGGTCGCTGACTCCAAATCAATGACCCCATAGCTGTGGGTTCAAATCCCGAAATGGACTTCTGATTATATTATGATAATATGTAAAGGATTGCTATGTCGATTCAGCTTTGATTTGGAAAAGTTGACGGGATTTGAACTTTAAGCTACCAACAGGACAGAGCCTGGTCAGACTGCAAAGACGTATTTATATTGATGGCAAAATATTTTCCTTTAAGTCCATGCTGGTTAAAAATAAATGGAAAAATAAGTTTGTACCCAATTAGATTTGTTTAATCAATAATCTCGTAAAATGACATTGCCCTAAAAAAAGTTGAAGTTTAAAAACAAATTACTCTTATGTTAGGTTTATTTATCTGATTACTTGAAAGATAATCGATTATAACTAATATTTATCAAACTTATCAAACAAATCCTTAAACATAAAATTTGTAAAAAATATATATATTTTACCAAAAACTGCCAATAGGAATATCACGATAAATGTATAATCCGCCATGTTTAAAGTCCACCGGGGCTGTTAACCTTAACTCAAAAAGTATTGGTAAATATATAAAAAATATGACTATATATCAATATTGGGTTTTCATTTTTGACCTAAACTTCAATAAATGGGTTATACACATGAAATACGATATCAAGACGAATGCTATATGACAAAAGAAGTGTTAACAGCTCTATTATTTCTTCAATATAGATATAAGGATAACCATTGTTATTGAGTTATTGAGTGCTATCGATCCGTAAAAGTTAAAGGATATACAGTAAAGCTATTAGATCTAACGAAATATTTTTTATAAACTTTAAAAACGGTAAAAATTACGCTGTTCCCATAATCTAAAGGTCCTTTCCCGAAAGAATTGTAAATTAAACATAGAATGTCTCTGTTTGTGATTTAACGCCTATTAATAATGTGCGTAAACAGAAATAAAAATGTTCTGGAACTAAATATCATGCTGCCATTTCAAGTAGGGTTTCCTTTTTAATTTTTAGCAATGACTTTGTGCATGTATAGTTCGCAGTTAGTAAATATACCAACATATTTCTTTCTTACAGGCATTCTGAAATTCTTCTTTTTCTTTTCAAAATTCAAACAAAAGTTTTGTCTCTGCAAACAGCAGAGATATAGCACTAGATATTTATAAAATAATTCAAAAGAAACAAACAAGTTCGGGGATTTTATTATTATAACCAAACTCGTGTGCATGTAAACTAAAAATGCATATTTGTATATTTAACTTGAATTAGTATGGGCAATATGTCAGAAAAATAAACAAATCCTTAACCTCTTGTTCTTGGACATTTAACTGCAGAATACATACCGGATATATGGAAACCAGTTCCATCTTTGTGCTAGTTAGGGCAGTCAGACACAAACTATTTAACAAATCGTATAAAAAAATAACTTTTGTTTGCTTAAACCAGTTCTTTCATCGACTTAATTAAAGCTTTTATTGGTATTCTTGCTCCAATTATTACTGGGCGTTATATACCTGTCAGTAATACAAGGACTGGTTCCGGGTGATATTTAGACATCCCGTGTAGTTCTTTGTTTGATAAAACAAAAATGATGTTGGCAATAATCTTCCAGTTTCTATTGTAAGTACTATATCAATATTTTTGAGAGTGCTTACTATAACTATTAAAAGAATACCTTGTTAACTAAAGCACACTGTATAAATACCAATCAGGTTAAGAAAGTGAATACATACAGGCACATGTCTCATTCATCTAACGGATTATATTTCGTATTGAAATTTATAAACATCACCTTGTATGTTTGTAATTCACCTATAACATCGGTCAATCGGTCTTGTAGTTATCTTCAAATGTTTCCAATAGGAAGCTACTTTTTACAAATTCTTCAATAACATGTGTGGTGTTCCACAAGGATCAGTTTTAGGCACCCTCCTCTTTTTAATATATGTATATCGTATGTTTAGCTTAATGATTTGTCCGCTGATATCAAAACCAAATTACCTTTTTATGCGGACGAATCTACTATGTAGTCATCTGGTAAAGCATGACAAAAATATTTCTTCGGATCTCCATATGGTCAGCGAATAGGTTGTTAGCAATCAACCATCACTTTATGTAGGTAAAACAGAATCTTTTCTGTTTGGCCCAAACTGGGATTAAATTCTCAAATGCCTCTTAGTTTAGTTTAACCATATTTATTGTCTATATAGATGAAATCATACACAAAAGAAATAAAGCAAGTGGCTTGTGAAATTATTTAAGCAAACTTAATATACTAGTACTGTATAAGTTTTAATGTCGTGTCAAAGTTCTTTTTCTACAGATACATGTTTTTTCCATCTGCTCGATTATTTAAAATTGTATTAAGATAAAAATATTTATATTTGCATGATTCTGTTAGATTTGCAAAAAAAAATGATGCTGCAGGCCAAACTATTCTTTAAAGCAAAATGAAAAATATAAGGTTTGAGGCAGAATGTTCCATTCATATTTACATGTATGTGGTACACAACAACTATGCATTGATATATCTGGCACTCATTTATCATTTGCAGATGTAAAATGTGGTGTACAACAACAACAATGTTTCAGTCACTGCTCTTTTTAATTTACGGAAATGCTGTTTTAAAAACTGTTACTGTTTGCATATGATTCTGCTATTTTAGTTTCTCTCTTAAATGGAAATATGAAATTTAGCGTTTGCTAACCAAGGACTTTGAACACGCTAGTGACTGTTAAGCTGATTTATTGTCGTTACATCTATGGAAAGCAGAATAAGTTTAATTTAGATCAAAAGGAATCTAACGAACAAAAGGTATCTTACGGACGAAAGAAAGAATGAACGAACGATTAGGACGGAGATCAGGACTTCGGCAAGAAATGAAGAATTGTAAGAGAGCAAGAAAGAAGGAATGAATGAGCAAATGAGCAAATAAATGAATTTAATTGGACAAATGAACCATCGAATAACGGAAGAACGAATGACAAATCTGGAAAAAAAAATGTTTAAAAAATCAATGAAAATATCCAATTAGGAACACGACCACAAGTATTCCTATAAATGCATTAATGTCAAGAAAACTTTTCATAAAAGATGTTTCTTTCAGGAACCGTTCTTTATAAATATTTTCCTTTTCTTCGTCAACGTTGATCACAGTGACTCCCTTCCGAGGTATTCCACATACTTGATACAATATTGTTATAAGTCGATGTTTTCCGGTTACATGGTCGTTTTCGTCTTGTTCATCTTTTCCTATTAAAAAATATTAAAATCAAATCAATCGGTATAAGTAGTGTTCATTTACAATTAATAAACATCGATCTGACCAATGTTCATATGTTTGAGCCGTGAGCATTTGCTGTTAAAAATCGGTTAGAACAACTAATCTATGAAGGTTGATACGTTTTATTTGTATGTTTAGGGGCGTCAGTAGCTCCATGTTGTTACTTGTATTGTATTTCAACCAACATGCATATGAATCATTTATCTATCAATTTAAAAGCAGTTTACATTTGATTTGAATGATACAAAGTCAAATAAGTTTTATTAACGTCTCATTGTAATTTACTATAAACGAACGACCGAGGACTCCACTGACATGACAGGAAAATATGTTTGGCTAAGTTGTTTGAAAAATAAGGTGCTTAAATATTACCTTCTTTAATTTCAATATCTGTCTGTCTAGAAATACCATTATTTTCATTGCATTCGACGGCTTCATTTCTTGTCCACCATGTCAATCCCTACATTGGTTCAGAATTAAATAAAAATGGCACATAAGGGTTAATATAATATTCTAAATAATAATATACATATATGCTCCTTTTAAAACATCAAAATGTCTTGGTTTTGGAAGCGTACCCGGAAGTGAGTTTTTTTTCTTTCGTCTATATCCTACTTAAATACAAAAACAAATGTTGAAAGTTTAGTCCTATTTAAGTGTAAAAGCTTCTCTGGCCAAAAAAGTCAATGTCGCTGACATGCAATTATTTGCACGACATCGCTGTGGGTTTGCATTCTGTTAGAGACTTTGGACTCTTTCATATGAGGAATCTATTCATCTAGCTTACGGAAGGCCGATGGTGCTATTCAGATGGCTGCTTGTGCCTGTAATACTGTGGACACCTGAGGCCTTCTCCCACCAGTAATACGTGAAAAATTACGTATGATATTTGCAGTGTTGGTATGATTTATAATCAAACAATACAAATATACGTATGCTTTGAGTATGATATTTAACACGAACAACTTAAGGACATTGCCTATGTATTTGAGAGTGTTAAATTTTAAGGGGACGTCCGTGACCGAGTGATTCTAACCACGTGTCCCTTCCCGCTGTGGGGTTCAATTCCCGTCTTGGACTTTGGATTCTTGCACAATCTAGCTTACGAAAGTCAGTGGTTCTGCGTAGATGCCCGTTCATGCCTAAAATAATGCAAGGACCAGGAGGAATACCTGGGTCTTCTGCTGCAATGTTGCAGTATGATCTTTATTGTGTATAACCCCCCCACCCCCCCCCCACCCCCCAAAAAAAAAAAAAAAAAAAAAAAAAAACAGAAAAAAGCAAAGAAATGAAAAATTTATAAGATTATACTAAAAACGAGCCGAGAAAATGTCTGTGATTTCTGATGTTGGCAGAGTAATTTCGTATTAATATTTCATCACTATTACTTTGTCTTTAGTGATCAAATACTTTTGTCATTATATTAAGTCATACTTATAATTTTATAGAAATACATAAACCATTATGTTTGGACTATATTGACCATTCTAGAATTATCGTATATTAGTATTTAAGCTTCAAAGAAGTAAATATTAATTTATATGATATGAAGTGTTACCTGAATTTTGCTGCTGGCCGAAGTTAAGTAGCTGATGATAACTATAGATAAACTTGTTATGATGAAGGATATGATGCCAAAGTAGGTAAAATGTACGTCATACAGAACTGCTGGTCGGGTCTCAGGTTCCCCACATCCTGGCGCCGGCATTGAGAAATCTAGGACCATTCTTATGATACCACAAAAATGTCCGATTACAAGTGACCAAAATGCAGCCTGTTTAAAAAAAATATGAAGGAGCAATGTAACAATGACTGTATCACAACAGATTAATCAAAGTATTGTTTTATTTGATTGTGATGTTCTATGAAACGTGTGAAGGTCAAACGCGAGGCGCCAATGTAATATCTGTCCGGAGTACGTAATCGCTGACAACACCGTTAAGATTGACAAACCGTCAAGTAGGTCGATAACCTTTAGCTGCAGTACGAAGCTTATCCAAACTCAATAACAGGTTATAGTAATTTAAGCTCCAAATACATGACTATATTTCTAATACTTTGATAGACGGGGTGCATTATATTGTAATGCAAAGAGCTCAAGCATTGTACTCCACTCCATACTCATGATACTAAGTAAAAGATACTCATGATACTAAGTAAAAGTTTTAATGATCTTAACCATGAAGAATGCCATGTAGGACATTGAAGTATATAAATGAAGCGATAGCATTTTAAGTTATGTATGACAATTTTAGCTGCGAAAGAAGTTATGCAATTGTTATTAAGTAAACAGAGATAAATTGCATTAAATGATGCATATCTTATCAACATGCTATTTATGGGATTTCGTTATTATATAGACTTAA